CAGTCGTACTAGCTCATACAAACCACACAATACAAACCACACACATACATATAGGTTGTTGCTATACAAATAGCGTCAAAAACTATTTAAAAATAAGTTTGTCATTCCATCTCCACAAAATATAGAATCGTTCTTTCCCAGAATTATCGTTTTTTGAACTTGGAGTATGAACCTACACCTTTTAGTTTCGGAGTGAACTGCAAGAGTAAATTAACATTTTATAATAATTTCTATATTTTATTGAAGCCGTAACGATTGCAACTGTCAGTAAAACATTAATGGCATCCACATTATAACATACGTAAATTTTGATTTTCAGAGTGATTTCAGTTATTTCATATTTTTACACTGTGAATTTGATTTATTTGTGTACCAAATATTCTCAATAACTGATCAGTCAATGAACACTAATGCCTTTTAACAAAATATTTACTACAACTCATCGATTATAGGAAACATGTGAAAGTACGCTGAAGAATGTTGTTTAATTATACAAACGTATTCTCGTCAAATATCTTCATCTGATTTTTGAAATTTCATCACAGTTGTAAAAACACTAGGAAAGAGTAGAGGACAACAATGGGCTATAGTCTTGTGGTGTGTCAATTTATCTGCGTGTTCTTAAGCTCGGTTTATAAATCAGAACATGAACTCGTAGCTGCATAAATCAGGGTAATTTATCGGTAGGTATAGTTTTAAAGCTTTCAAACTTGGCATGTCACAATAATATCAAGGAAAAATTATGTTTACAAAACTACGAGTTATTAAGCTAGATAAATTAGACAACATGGAATGCTGAGCTAAATGTTATCGATTATAAATCATCACTGTTAAGGCTTTTTTAAGTCCCGTTGTCCACTGATAATCCCCGCATGATTTGAAGGAACTCCATTCCGTGTACTACAGTCGGAAAAGGTACCAATCAGTTATTCATGGTGAACAGTTTGAAGACATCATTTTTTTCAGCATCTACGCGGTTGGCAGTAATTAAAATGTATCCTAATGAGTTTCCTTTATGTTTTAATTGATCAACTAACAAGAATATTACAAAATTTCATCTTAATGGATAGTTAACTACACTGCAACATGACTAAATTTTATACAGTTATGAAGATGGCATACTTACGAGTACTTAGTTCTATGATAACACCAAAACCTGCAGTGTATACATTACTGAGAAGCTCAGTTAGAATGAAATTCTTAAGAATTTATCACGAAAATGTATTTGACAAATCAGTGGAAAATCTTAGAACAACTGAGTGTATCCATTAAGGATGAACAATTTGAAGAAGATGGAAAACATTTGAAGTGATTGTCCGCTGATTCGTTATCTACATTTTCAACAATAATCGGTCATGTTTGACTTCTTTATTCAAATACAAGTTCAACTAATTGTAATCATGTCTTTTCCTGATCACAAACCGCGATAAATTCTCAATTAACTAAGTCATCAATCTAGTTCCATCACTGTGGTTCATCATTTTCACAGTCAAATGTGTTCAAAAGCTGGATACTGCAGAGGATTGTGAGGCACTTATCTGTTATTTCTAGTGTTGTGGTTGGTAGTTTGAGGAACTGAATAAAATACTGAATAGTCTACTAATTATTTGTAACACATAAAGTGAGTGACAGAGCTGGCAAGACGTTCAATAAGTTGGATTACAGAAAATATTTAATAGCATCAGATTTCGCTTCATCAATCATGCCTGAAATATAAATTCTTGATAAAAATGGATCCTACCATTATTAGACAGGACATAGAATACTTTTTTCTAATGTGAGGATCGTCTAAAACTGGACAGCTAGCTGAGTGTGACGAATATCAACATACGAATACTGATCTGATCATAGAACTGGTATGGAAGTATGGACGGGAGAATCGGAGCCGGATTTCAGAAACGAATTTAAATAATAATAAGTAGTTTGATGAGTACAAATGTTCATAAATAACGCTGAGAATAATCAAACAAAGTAGTTGCTCGTCCTACCAAACCGATAAAACTGTAACTGTCAATAATCGTTTTCCAGCTCCGTCGAATTTAATGTTCCGAGAATACCACTGTAATCCGAATAAGCTTTGGAGAAAAGCTCAACCAACAAGGATTTTATTCTCAACTGGTTTATGTATAAATTATGAGAGAATGACTACATCTAGACACTCGTGTATCATCTTACGCCGCCAGTCCTCCGCAATTACAGCCACCTAATTCTTTTCATCGTCCTACCAGGTCAGGACTCCATATGCGTTCACTTTCAGTCGTTCCTTTTGCCTAAGTAACATTATTACCTCCTTGCCCGTCGTTCGTTTGTCTACGTCTTCTCCTTCTTTTTTCACAATGATTACCTCTCGAAGGTTCGGGTCACCTTTCTGTTGCCGGATGAGTTCTAATGGGTCTCCATCTAAACTACTCACCGCCTATGCTGTCACTGGAAGGCTATCTTCCTTGTCTGATCTTGACAAGTAATCCGCCATTACGTTTTCTTTTCCTGGAACATGACCGATACTGAAGTCGTATTCTTGCAGACGTATCATCCACCGCGCCAACTTCCCTCGGGGGTCTCTTGCTGTTCACAACCACAGCAGGGGTTTATGGTCAGTCTCAATGTGAAATTGTCTACCTTTAAGGTACGGTCTCCATTTTTCAACTGCCCACACGATTGCTAGGCACTCCTTTTCGATTGTTGAATACTTCTGCTCGGCGGGTGTGAGAACGCGACTTGCGTATTCCACCACTCTATCAGCCTGACACAATACCGCACCTGTACCATGATCACTTGCATCTGTGGCCACTGTAAACTGTTTCCCAGGTTCAGTCAGTCGCAGCGTCATCTGACGATCGTCCAGCATGTTTTTGATTCGTTTGAACGTTTGTTCGGCAGCCTCAGTCCATGTAAACTTGGTGTTGCTCAGCAACTTATATAGGGGCGCTGCTATTTCGTTGAAATTCTTGACAAACCGACTATAGAACGCCGCTCTTCGCAGAGAATGAACACACATTAGCGAACGCTGATCTTAATTCAACCGAGAACATCGATACAAGTATCATAATGAACCTTTCCAACGATGAAATATATATTTTACCCCAAACATGGATAAGTTGTAAAGTAAACTCAGTAGTTGAGTTTATCATCAGTTAGGCGCGTGAGCTTCTGCATGAACATTATTTCAAAGTCTCGAAGCACTCCATTGTCGACAGTTCCGATCAAGTTAACCAAAAGTGTTTCAAATCCCGCAGTGAACGTGCTTCTGAGTGGAATACTCTGTGGATTCACATACAGCATTTTTAGTAAGATAAATGTATCACTAACAGAGCTGAATAAATTTCATGACAACACTTTGCGCATCTATATGAATTGATCGCACTGGCTTTTGTCTAACGTCTGAAACTTGTAGGCTGTCTGAGGGGTAAGATTTCGAGTGTGAGTTACATCTGAGGAGTGTCATATAACAAGAAATTCAAGTGCACGAACTCATATTAACTGGGTTCAAACTTCTGAAACGTTTAAATGATACTGGCAATTTCGACTTATTTTGAATGATATCCGACACATTCGAAACGGACAGACAGAAGTCAATATCTTAAAGAATTGATGTTCACGTTTTTGCTTAAACACAACATTTTAATGGTCGATGGTCATTAAAGACTCTGCAGTCCGTAGTAATTCACATAAGCATGTCAACACAATAATCATATTAGAAAGTCGTATCTTATCACATCTTTGTTTCTGAAAAGGAAGCAACGTTCAAGATGTTGTTTGTACGAAGGAAACAAATAATTGTTTTGGGCAGCCCTCTCCTGGCAGCGGTACGACTTTCTACTATTTTTAAACATTTTCACCAAATATTTACTAAGAAAAACGTCGATTGGATCCCGAAGGCAGTGAAACCATCGCAGGAAAGCAGCCACAATTACAGCTACCAGGCCAAAGCTAAATAAGGCTTGTAGAATAACTAACAAACCTCACTTCTACGTGAAGTAAGTATTCTGACGTTTTCTAAACCGACAACGAAAGCTTCACGATTAGGCCACCCTTCTCAAAGAACCTAAAAGCATCTGTTGATTATACCCTTATACCTTTTTGGACCATATCGTTGAGTCATTGACCGATGGTTATGATGGCCGGGCACACCTCAACCAGGTAGTCTTTACCTACTTACATTTCCCAGTGCACCATTCAGATTCTTTATGGACTGATGCCATTTCTTAAATTGGTCGCCCTTACTTTCTGTCGACCCATTCCTACACCAGCCTTCGCCGCCTATTGAAGTAGTATGCGGATGGCTATACGTGACACACATACAAACCATCTTCCTTGATAATGACCAATCGAAACTTGGCCCCCAAATATCATGATAGGGCGGAAAGTAGAAAGTATTCTCCCTATCACAAAATACTCTCATATATGTCCGCATGATTATAGGCACTATTGGGGCAGTACTACTGACTGCAATCTCGTGGCACAGGTTTCGTTTTCAAAAATTAAAAGACGAAAATTTAGCATCTGACTGAGTGCCACATCGAGTTAGTGAGTATGGACGATCCATTTTGAGGAGACGGGAAACCTCGATTCCAAACCGATGGTGCACATTGGATCCATGATCCTGACACAATGGATGGCATATGAACCAGTTCTTGGTCACCAACAACAAGACTTAATTATGTCGCACTACTGTCTTGTGGATTAGATCTCCAAGTCAAGGCTTCGGATATGGTCCTCTCAGAAAACAACCTACTTAGGCTCGGACACCCAGTGATTATCCCACCTCACAAACCAATTCATTAATTAAAGTGTGTATTTATTTGACTTAATTAGTCCAAAATATCGTGCGACCATCTTCAATTGTGGGAGAGTGTTAACTTGGAAGGGAAGAATGAGTAGTGGAATAAGATGTGGTCTAAATGATGAAGTTCATCATTTGCCTAGTAGTTTGCTGACTGTGACATAACTCAGTGCAATGTTCTTTGAAATAAAAGAATTACAATGATTAAATATCGTACCCTCTTTACAATGGCACTCTCTGTTTCTGTCTCCTCATCAGAATACCTTTCATTGATTAAAATATTGACCACTGCTTCATCAGACATATTCAAAGAATCATCCGCATTCATAACAGTTACTTGAAAGATAAATGGAAATTCATCCTTCATTTCTTCATAAATGCTATTCACTTTCAGAATACCACTTGTTGCATTGACAACCACTGGTAAATGTTTTGTCAATGGTTGTTTAATGCTGAACATCACACTTCCACATGACTTCATTGAAGAGTTCTCATCCTTCAGAGAAAGACGACCAATAATGCTTCCATTTTTCCAGTCTGAAGAATTAACTTCAAAATCGAATGTCTTTTGTGTTAATTTTGGTGCCCTTTGCACTAAAATGGTAAATAAACAGTATGGATCGTTTATATTTCATAATGAAAGCAAACGATTTAGTGTAAGGTACAGAATAAAATACCAAAGCTCAAGTATTCAGTGTGTACTGAGTTTACATACTCGATATACTTAGCAATGATGTTAAAAAAAACTTGAGAGGGGATTCAAACTGATACCCTGAAGCATTCGGTTAACTAACATTGTAGTAAATTGATTTTGCTAAATGTAATCATCTCTAAAACGTTTGCAAGTAATTGATTCACTTATATTGGCTATTTTAATCTGGTCGTTGATAATTACAGTGTTGCTTGGCATATATGAATTAAGTGTGTGGTTTGTTTTGATTTTGTCATTAGTTTATATGAATTTTAGACTGAATCGAGCAATTTTCGAACGAGTTCATTATGAGAAAACTAACACCAGTGTCTAGTTCTACATCCCACTGCTAACCAGAACTCAATTTCGGTTCAGTCTCAAATTATTAACAATATTATGGTCTGTTGTTGTTGAGGTTTACGTAATACGTTGGGGCCAACGCTTCATTTGGAGTAACAGGCGTAAGTAAGCAAGTACGTAAGTAAGTAAGTAAGTAAACAAGTAATTAAGTGTTAACGGGAGAAAACGTATATAATAATTATTAAGTATACTTGAACTTTCTTTTCATCTATTCTCTTTTCATGGGAGTAACCATGACTACATATACTTGCTTTGATCATTGGGATTTAGCTTGTAGTGACTCCACATTTATTTACATCCGCTTACATTTAATTTGCTTAAGCCCTTTCGATTAATTTATTTAACCAAGCCATTGGTATAGCAACAACTCATATGTACCATTGGTATTTTTTATTATCTGGTTTGTATGAGCTTGTACGACTGAGCATTGCTTACCGCCTACGCGCTTACTCATCCTTTTCGCTTTAATGTTAATCTCTTAATATTCCCATGAACTCACACGATTTGTATCGCTTGCTTTTGACCTTGTCAATCATTCGTCGCTTTTATTCATGTGTGTGCATGCCTATTTCGCTTGTCATGTCTGTCTTCTTTTTATCTGACTATATATTCTTAGTCATATTCTATTTCTTTGAGTTAGCTCTTAGCCTTCTCCAAGTCGCTTCGCCCATTCGCTTGCATTGTAATCCAAAGAGTTGGCTCTTTGCCTTCTCCAACGCGCTTCGCCTATCCATTCGCTTCCTTCGTTTTATTCACTGCTTCTCCGCTTCGCTTTGTGGTGTGTCCCGAATAAACGTACTCATCAATACGAGCTTATGTTCTGATTTATAAACCGAGCTATAAGAACACGCAAGAAATCGACACACTACAAGCTGAATATGAATCAACAGAAAGATTTAAACAACCTGTACAAAAGAATTAAGATTCACCCAATTATTGTGGTTTGACATTGGTCGATTCATCACTTCACAATAACTCAACCTAAATTAAATTCAATGATAAAATTAAAAATTCACTTTATTTAAATCGTTATTTCTTCATTTTCTCTAAAATTTAATTAATTAATGACCTTGTTTGAAATTTCTTTTATATTTCTGTTTTATAGAAATCCAACTGATCATGTGGAATGTAGATTAGATTGTGATTGTGATGATTATGTGATAATAAAAACACTGTAAAATGTAACAATTAAATAAAAAATGTTAACTTACATTGTACATTGCAAGTTTCACCAGTCCAGCACATGTTACATACACAAAGACCATTATTGCATTGACCATGGACGCAGTTCCTGAGCAAAACAAAATAGTGTAAAATTCATGTGTTCATGTATTCATAAGTACATTCTAAATGAAAGTTCATATGAAATTTCTCACCACCGGTTTAGAGTGTTATTTTTGAAGAAATGCTATCACAGCTACTGGTATCTAAATTACAGAGGTACCTCCGGATAGTGGACTGTAAATTATTATTCTGGTTACTAGAGCTTACTGTAACTTTTTCCGTTATTAGTGATTTGGTACAATGGTATTCATCAGAGCTACTCATTTTCATTATTATCTAGTTACGTTACCTTCCCAGAGCTCTAGTACGAAATCGTGACCAGGAAAATTCAACTCAGTTGGGTGTTAGGCAGTTACCCACTCAAGACATTGGCTTATGGTGGCACAATTTTGTGGATTAATTGTTGTTAGACATCGACACTGTTGGATATCAGTTCGGGGGTCTAGGTGTCAAGCGTTCGCGTGCCAGATCAAAGATTGTTGATTCGTTTTTCCTATGTGGGAGTCGTGGATGCTCACTATAGACTCGTCACATACCAGAATGAAACGGCTGTTCAGTGCTTCCAGTTTTCATCATATTGGTAATCTAACATTGATCGATTCATGAATTTTATAAAATTTGGATTATAAATGATCAGTAGCATGATTAATAAACAGAAAAAATCGAATAGTGTGTTTCTTTTAATACAGTCACTGGAAATAATTCCGTTGAAAAATAACACTTACTGTGAATTATTCTCACAAGTTGTTGTCAATTCCTCACATAATCTATACGATACTGAATCAATAGGAATATTCATGATTAAAACGAGATTGATTCACTTACATAATACACAGATTATTGCAATCCAGGTAGATTTTAGTTCAATTTTGTAGAATATCGTCATATTGCAATGATGTTATTGAATGAAACAGAATTGATGCAGCATATAATTGACCATCATCATCATCAGTAGATGTGGACTTGCCAATTTTTAACTCTTTCATCATATAAGTAAATAAATAAATTTATAGTTCAGTAATTGAACAGTTGAACTTATCTCACCCAATCATCAAATAAGGAAGGCATGAATTGAGAAATTAACTGTAAATAACAAGAATCTAACCCAATATAAAATCATGATCAGTTTATTTGATTGTTCAATGAATGAAGTAAAACATAAATTTAACTACTTTAATGATGTACACTAAGGTTAACAACTAACACCGTTTGTCTCATGGTCATGGTATGATTATACGTACACTCCATCGCAAAGATATACATTTATATTTAAACTTAAATATTCCAATGACGTAGTCAGTTAACAGAATAATAACAAGGATATTTGATTTCGTGCAAAAGCAGGGATTAGTATCATTGTTAGTAAATGTAACATTGAACAATTTTCTACAACTTTTAACAAATAGTTTCAATTAAATAACATGTGCGTGATGTATTTCCGTATGATTGAGGACAATCTAATACATGAATTCATCTGTAACACTTGTTCATTGTTCAGTTGATTTATGTCAGATAATGAAACGTGTTTATTTAACCTGTTTTTGTTTCATTTATACTCTAAACAGTATTGTTTCTATTGAGTGACACTGAGATTTTCTTGAGGTGAATTCAAGAAAAAATTGAATAGAAATAACAGTTAACTCCATAGATAACTATTAAATTATACTTCTATCTAGAATGACTGGTAGTGAAATCTTAAGAGATAAAAGTTGAATAGAAATAAATGTTTTTCGTAATTACTTACCTAATTACTTACTTATTTACTTACTTAGTTATGCCTATGCTAAATAAGCATAGGTCGCGAGCCAGCATTCTCCAACCTGATCTGTCCTGGGCCCTCTTTTCTAGTTCTGACAAACGCTGTTTATCCTTGCATTCCTGTCACCGATTCTCAGCGTAATCTGTACTTCGGTCTTCCTGTTTTCCTTTTACCTTGAGGGTTCCATGTGAGGGCTGGTCTTGTGAAACAGTTGGGTGCTTTCCCTAGTCTGCGTCCAATCCACTTCCACCGCTCCTTCCTGATCTGCATCAGATCCGTCTTGCTCGTCAATGATGCTGTGCAGTTATCTAAGGTTTTTTACGTCTTTCAAAGCATTTCCACCAAGTGTGATTTGGTCGACGCATGTTTTGTTTTTTCAGAGAATCTTGCTTTTCTCTTTGAGTATGTTGAGACCTTCTGTTGCAGAAGCTGCCATTACACTGGTCGTCTTTGCTTGTATATGTTGTTGCGTTTGCGATTGAAGAGCGAGATAATCTGTAAAGTCTAGCTGCATCCTGGTTGCCCACTTCTTACTGTACTTGCCTCCAGGTATTGACGTCTTCATAATCCAGTCGATCACCAGGAGAAAGAGGAAGGGTGAAAGCAAGTAATCCTAACAGACACCTATCTTCGCCTTGAACAAGTCTGTCAGCTGACCTCTCAGCATGATTTTGCAGTTTAATCCATCGTTAGGATTCCCTATCATGTTGACTATTTCCTCAGACACGCCGTAGTGTAGAGGAAGCCTTCATAGTGTTTTCCTGTTCATAGTCTCGAATTCTTTCCCGTAGTCAGTGCCTTTGATGTATTTTTGTGAGTTCCATTCAATTGATTATTTCACAATGATCCATAAAGATGCCACTAGGTCGGTACACGGTCGATCCGTACGAAATCCAGCCTGTCCATCTCGAAAATGGTCATCTACAAAGTCGTTCACTTTGTTTAACAAAACACTGTTGAAGACTTTGCGTAGTATTGAGAGAAGAGTGATGCCTCTGCGGTTCTCACACGATTAAATCGCCTTTCTTTGGTATTTTGATGCGATAACCTTCATTCCAGTCTGTAAGTACTTGTTCTTTATCCCAATTTTTTTGAAGAGAATGTGGAATGTTTTCGCAGTTACTGCCACGTCTGCTTCCACTGCCTGTGCTGGAACGTTGTCTGGTTCCACTGATTTGCCACACTCGCTTTGTTTTCTGGTCATACTGATATATTCAACTGTCGGTGGGCCAATATTGATTGGGAGGGCTGTAGATGCAGCATCGATGTTGGGTGGGTTAAGTGGAGCTGGTAGCTTCCATAGTTCCTCGAATTGCTCTACACACCTGTTTCGATGTTTTTCAGCGTTGCTGATTACTTTGCCTTCCTTGCTTTCAACCGGGCTTTCTGGTTTACCATAGTTTCCAGCAAGCTTCTTCGTTGTATCGTACAATTGTCTCAAGTTCCCTTCACTTGCAGTTTTTCCTCCGTCATCGCTATATCTTCCACATATTTATGTGATCTAGCGCGTTGCTTCTATGTATTTAACCAGATCGAGAAAAGCGTGAAAACTACTGCTGAGGGTTACCCGAATTCTTTGAGTTTGTCAGGATCTTGAAGAACGGCCGTATTAAACTTTCGTGATTTCGCTCGTCACCTTGTCCAGTTTTTCTTGAGTTTCGGTGTCATCTCGGCAAACAGAATGTGATGATCTGGAGCTATATCAGCTCCTCTATTGGGTCTAATGTCCACTATAGTACTTATGGACAATTTTTGATGCACCTATGGTAGATTTGGTTCTGAGTGGTGTGATCCGATGAAACCATGTGGCTTTGTGTATGCGTTTTATGGGAATATTTTGCCGCTTATTATAGGTTTGCAAATCTCTCACCGTTTTCGTTCTTTTCTCCCAGTCCATGTCGTCCGTCCCATGATGCCTTCATATCCAGTGGTTGTCCATGCCACCTTGCACTTAGGTCTCGCATCAGAATGGTCAAGTAGTTTGTTGGGTATTTCTTAAAACTGACCTCAGCCTCTCATAGAGTTGATCCTAATCGTCTTCGTTCTTGTCGTTGGTAGCGCGCAGCATTCTATGATGTTTAATGTGATGCCGTCTTTCTTTTATTCGAAGGAGTTCTTGACGATCCGGAGAACTTAGGATTGTAATTCTATCAATGCCGTTGTGCCTTTAAGACAGAGTTAGTGCAAGTATTCGCACACACATGGCCATAATATAACAGAAGCTACCCAGAAGCAAGTCCTTTTCGTCCAATCAGTGTTCAATGTAATTTTCTGATTCAAAGCAATTCCAGGTTGAATCTATTCATCAATGCAGCTATTTGGAATGGTATTCAGTGTCCCATGATATCAAAAAAGTCCATGCATCTACAACAAGATTTTCTCTAGGTACAAAAATGTGAAGCAGACTCATGGAAAAACAAGACAGTCGAGTTTAAACACCGGACGCTGAAACATATGAGAATAAGAATGGAAAACAGGAAAAACAAAACTAAAAAACAATCAGGACGCAACTATACAGCTGCAACATATTTACATCGATACAAGACACACCGAAATATCCAACGAAACATTAGAATAAGAGCAACACCAAAAAAATTAGAAAAGAAAAAATGCAACCCTGCAGAAAAAAACAATGAAAAATGGAAAAATTACAATAAATTACAGGAAATATTTAAATTTCCACAGCTAAAAATTTCAAATGCAAGTACAGTGAAAAATTAAAATATGAATAATTACGTTTGACATACAACAGTGTAGCTGTGGATAACAAACATCAACGAGCAACAACTAGTCACAGACAAATACAATAAACATAAAACCAATAGTCAGCAACTCGTCATACTAACAGTAACACAAATGTCGTTTACTAACATTTACAATACCGAAGTGAAAACCGAAACAATATTCAGCAACATTAGGTCACACTGAATTACAAATAAGCATAATCTCTCTCACCTCTCGATCGACAACACAGTCTAACAACGGCTCCTCACATTTTCCCATCTCATCTTTCTATCCGGAAAGTTAGCTATGAGTCCTCGTGTTTTTCTCGCATACTTCTCATACCGTCGTCTTATCGGTCGTGTTCGTTATATCTTTTCTAGTGTTCTTCCAATTCTATCTGTCTATTTGAATTGTGCCGAAGATCGGTCATTTTTGTCAGTCAGTTGCAACGTAGAACTTCATACGTATGTTCATAAGC